TTCTCCATGAAGTATCTCCCAGCACTAATGAAAACTTTTTATAGAGGGTGGGTAGGATCACTAAAAGTCTATTGTCTGCTGCAAGCAAGTGCCAGATGGTCTTGGGTGGCTAAGGAGATGCTAAAAATGAAACGGTAGGTGGGCGGTGGTGGCATACGCCTTTGATCTCAGCACTTGAGAGGCAGAGGCAGGCAGATCTCTGTGAGTTCGAGACCAGCCTGGTCTACAAGAGCGAGGTCTCTGGAAAAACAAAAAGGATCCAGTTTTCTGTTTCCACTGTGGGTTGCAGTGATTGAACTCAGGTTGTCAGGCTTGTGAGGCAAAAGCTTTCACCTGCTGAGCCATCTCACTGGTCCTTCTTTCTTTAAAACTTTTTTTTATATTTATTTACGTGTGTATGCCCACGCACGTGTGTGTACAGTAACACACATGTGGAGGTCTGAGGCCCTCCTTTTACCATGTGGATTCTGGGGAATGAACTCAAGTTGTTAGACTTACTGAGCCATCTTATAGTGCTTTTAGGCCCAGTAGACTGGGCATCCAATCCTGCTTTTTTTCATGCCTAATCCCTCAGTAATGTCTGTCCCTCTACTGTCTTCCAGGGACCTTAGCCTGTAATAACCGAGTCCCTAATGATTTATGTGAGCCAGTCCATCAGAGACTTTATTTACCTTGTATTGCCTTAGGTTATGCAGCCTTTGACTCAAGGAAGGATGGGTGGTATATTACTGTTCTGCTTGCACAGCACTGGGACCAAACACATCCACCTCCATGTCTATAGTCTCAGGCTATGAGAAACTCTTTGATTCCCTGTTTAAAAGTCTTCCCCAGCCTGCCAGGCATTGGTGGTGCACGCCTTTAATACCAGACTAGGAGGCAGAGGCAGACAGATCTCTGAGTTCGAGGCCAGCCCTGTTTATGGAGTGAGTTCCAGGACAGCCTCCAAAACAATACAGAGAAACTCTGTCTCAAAAAACCAAAAAAAAAAAAAAAAGGGGGGGGGGGGCGGGGGGCCTTCCCCAGTCCAAGAGTTCAGACACAGACTAGTCCCTAACTAAGTATCACAGTTTACTATTCAGGGCCATTATTGAGGCCTCTACACACTGAATTGTGGGCTTTCCCCTTCCTGTCTTGAAGGTTAGACTTGAGGGGCATCTTCTCACTTCTGTTCTTTTACACTCCAGTTCTTCCCATGGGTTCCAAGTTCTTGGGTCCTAGACAGAGTGCTTCAGATCTGATTAGTATTCCTTCCCTTGTATCCTGTCAGCTGTAAGACATGGCAAGGTAGCATCTCCATGTTACCCTCCCCCTTTCCTGCTAGATCAGAGGCTGATGTAGAGGACAGCACTTACAAATTTTTTAATGTAGGCAAGTTCTTTGGGACAGATAGCTGAACCTCCGTTGTATGTCTTCTTGCCCACAGTAAAGTTTATACAATAGTGTTAAAGTCTGTTTAAGGTCTCGTCCCTTAGACATATGCACTATATCAGAGACTGCAGTGTATTCTCTAGTACATCAGTGGGTTGGTCCCCTTTTATTAAGGAATTTTGCTACCTCATACTATATACTATATACTATACACTATACTGGGATTCCTCTGTAAAGACACTTCAGTCTTAGATGGTGTGGCCTTGATCAGATGTCTTATCACCCATTGCAGGATGCATGTAACTGCCACTATAAGAAGGAGGCATAATATGCCGTTCTTTTTTTTTTTTTTTTTTTTTGGTTTTTCAAGACAGGGTTTCTCTATAGCTTTGGAGGCTGTCCTGGAACTCACTTTGTAGACCAGGCTGGCCTCGAACTCACAGAGATCCACCTGCCTCTGCCTCGCGAGTGCTGGGATTAAAGGCGTGCGCCACCAACGCCCAGCCCATTCTATCTAGGGAAATATAGTCATGTCAGAATTATCCCTGCTCCACCCTCAGACAGATCAGCCTCAGTTAACATGTGTCCTCACCCATTATCACAGGGACCATGCAACCGCTCTTCCCCACTCCTCTTTGGTTCTATTGGTCCATGTTTGGGTACCAGTTATGTTAATGCATCATTTCTTGGGGCTATATGAACCAACATTTGTCCTCACTAAGAAAGGTGCTAATAACAAACCAAAAAAATGATTCTCCTTGACTAGTTGGTGAACCAGTGAGTTTGTGTGTGGGGTTACTTTTGGGAACATGGATGACCTAAAGGCAGTTACATCACAGGAAATCCCACCCTAGCATTGGTGAGGCTCCCCAAACCTGCATTCCTGCATAGCTTCAGTCTCTCCAGCAATTATTTACTACTTTCATGACCTTGTGTGTGTGAATCTTGAGCTTCATGAGAACAGTAAGTATCTTTAACTCCTTGAGTCTAGTAAGAGTCTCTCCTTCCTCCAGGAGAAAGAAGCCACATAGCATTTTCCTTTTGTGAGTATTGAAGACATTTCAGAATGCAGACTTAATTTCTGCATGCTGCAGGAATCATCAGAAACTTTACAGCCCATTGTTATCTGCCTGTTTATTCCAGTGTTTTTAGTTTTGTACTCCTGCCTTGTACATACCACAAGCTACACTTTTCCTTTGTGTAGCAAGGTGCTGAGAATACTCACATGCTTTTGTCAATTTTTTTGCTTATTTCATTCATTCTATGATGGTTCTCTTAGTTCCTAATATAATTTCTTTAAAAGTTTAAGAGTCTATAAACTGAAATTCTGAGTCCTCTATTGTTGGGTAAAGCCTTCCTGCCAGCCTGGTCCCAGAGCCGCATCAGTCCCAAATGAACACACAGGATGCTATATTAATTATGAAGCTGTTGGCCTTGCTTGTTTCTTACTGGCTAGCTTTGGCTTAAGTATTTACTTGATAATTGTTAATCTAAGTATTTCTTTTACCGGAGAAAAGGGTCCGGACTTCTTACCCTTATGACAACTACATGATGACTCTCTGTGTTTCTCCTTCCCAGAATCCTCCTCGACTCCTAGTCCCACCTATCTTGCTTCCCTATTGGCCAACAGTGCTTTATTGACATATACACAGGACTTCCCCATCACTCTGTGTTTACTTTTTATTAGTATTATTATTACTGTTATTATTTGCGGAACTGAGAAATAAACCTGGATCTCATACATGCTACGCCTGTACTGTACCACTGCATGACATCTCAGCCCTTTAGAATTTGCTGAGCTAGGACTGGATTTCAGTGGGAATTACTTAGTGTGCAGTTTTTGACTACCCTTGCTGTACTTCTCTTTGTTGCTTTTATTGTTCGTTTTTAGTTTTTTTTTTTTTTTACAAAAGATTGTGTGTAGGGTTTATCTGAGTATGTGTGGGTGCACCACCTGTGTGCCTGATGCCCACATAGGCACCCCATGAGTGTTGGGAATTGAACCTGGGCCCTCTGTAAAAATAGTCAGTGCTCTTAACAACTGAGCCATCATCTCCAGTCTTGTTTTGTTTTTTGAAACCAGGTTTGCTTATGTACCTGTGGTTATCCTCAAACTGGAGATCATCCTTTCTCAACCTTCCAAGTGACGGGATTGTAGGCCTGCATCGCCATGCTTGGCTTGGTACCTTCCTCATGATATATCAGAGTGTAGAGTTTCTTTTGCCAGTTATGGAGATACAGTTAGTAGTATTTGTTGAAGAGGCAGAGGTAGGAGGATCATGAGTTTTAGGCAACTGGAGAGATGGCTCAGTGGTTAAGATAGTTTGCTCTTGTTCTTGCAAAGGACCCAGATTACATTCTCAGCACCTACATGCTGACTCACAACCATCTGTGACTGATTCCAGGGATCCAGTGCCTCTTCTGACCTTCGTGGGCAACACACACACACACACACGCACACACGCATGCACACACACGTACACACACACACGCATACACACATACACACTCAAACGCACGTGCACATGCATGCACACAGGCAAAACATTCATATACATAAATATTTTAAAGTGTCTTTTATTACTTCTGAAAAAATTACAGCCAGTATTCCCCCCCCCTTATATTAAGGCATCCATATCTTTTTGCACTTCTTGTTTATGTTTTGAGACGGGCTCTTACTATATGGCACTGGCTGTCCTAGATAGATTGCTAGTCTCTAACTCTGATATCCTACTGGGTCTGCCTTCCTGAAGACTAAAGGTATGTGCCACCACAACTGGCCCATGTCATGGTGTATAATGTATAAAATTAGGAAAGTGATACAAGAAAAATCCATTGAAAGATTTTTCTAGTAAGTTAACAGTACACTATCTTCATGTCCAGTGCCTTCCTCTTTTGCTCTCCACCTTATTTTTTAAGCCTCTCACTGCACCTGGAGTTATTGATTTGGCTAGGCTGGCTGGCCAGTAAGCTCCAGGGGTCTGCTTGATTCTCTTTCCCCAGTACACACATGCTTCTCTACCAGCTTTTATTTGAGTACTGACCACTGGAACTTGAGTCTTCATGCTTGTGCTAAAGGTACTTTACTGACTGAGCTGTCTACCTTCCTTCTGTCAAACAGAGATCATGGGCTGGTGAGAAGACTTAGTGGATAAAAGGGATTGCTACCAAGCCGGACAAGAGTTAGGTCCTTGGAACCCCTATTGGTGAAGAGAATTAAAGACTCTTGAAAGATGTCCCCTCTGCACATGCATGTGTATGTACACACACACACACACACACACACCCTGTAAAAAAAATTCAAACATTTTCTGGTTTGGTTGCTGAGAAGTAGAGCACTAAATGAGGTATCTTAACAATTTAGTATATTAATATGAGTATATGTTGTACATTATTATTTTGGTACACTATAAATGCACATATAATATGTATTATACATTATGAGCAAGTTGGATAGCTAAAAAATAATGTGGTAATTTAAGTGATAATCAGAATGCCTCTTTATATATCTCTTCATTTAATGGATTGAGTACATTTCTGGTGAGTTACTGATCATTCTTGTTATGAATGTGCTTTCAATTAGGAAAACATGGGGCTGCTATAACACAGATAACTTCTTTCTTTCATTTCAGAAAACTCAGGTTCCTGAATCTCAAAGACCCAGACCAAAAAAAGGTCTGTATGCAATTTCATTATATACTATATATATATATAGTTGTTACCCATTTCTTTGTCTCATTGATTGTTATATATACCAGAGCTTTGTAAATTGTGTTAGGAAAAGCAGTAATGGTTCAACTCTTACATAATATCAGCCTTTTTATTTTATCCCATTACATTTATTATTGACATGTAATGTACTTAAATGTTGTTTGGTTAATATGTCAGTGTACACTAATTTTTAATTCGTGTAATAAGCATTCAGTTCTTGTACAAAACAGACTGCTAATTTTATGTATGTTAAGTGTGGCATTTAATTTTACTTTAAAACTTTTTTGTTTTTTTTTTTCCAAGACAGGGCTTTGCTGTGTCTATTTCCTGAGGGAAGAATTTATGCCCCATTTATCTTTGTTTAAGACTGGCCCAAGCTGGGTGGTGGTGCCACACACCTTTAATCCCAGCACTCGGGAGGCAGAGGCAGGAGGATCTCTGTGAGTTTGAGACCAGCCTGGTCTACACAGCTAGTTCCAAGATGACCAGGACTACACAGAGAAACACTGTCTCAAAAATTGGGGAGTGGGGGAGAAAAACCTCCGTCTCAGAAAAACAAGCAAGAGATTGGTCCAAACTTACTGCATAGCTCAAGCTGGTCTTGAACTTAAAATACTTCTTTCTCAGCTGAGATTTATGAAATTCAGTTGTAATTTTGCAAGTATCTGACTTAATTACTAGTATTTTTATACCATTTCTAGATATGAGAATCATCCTGCTATTACCTCACTTAATAACCAAATGATTGAGCTAGTTAGGTAGGACTAGTATATGCTGTGATTGTCAATCCAGTATGTATTTTACCTTTTCCTTAGAGCCAGATCCATGGGTCAGTTGGCCACAGGCCTAGAAGAGGACTGTATATCAACCAAGAATTATTCCAAGGGTCAGCAAGATGGCTCAGTGGGTTAAAGGACGTGCTGCCAATCTGATGATCCAAATTCAATTTCTAGGACCCACATGGTGGAAGGAGAGAACCACTTTCTCCAATATTGTTCTCTGATTTCTGCATGTGTGCTATGTGTACCCACACATGGAGAGCCACAAAATAAACAAATATAACTCAGAAAACAAGATCTTTACATAAATTTCCAAATTCCATGAAGAATTTAATGTGCTGTTGGTTTTTTTTTATTGTTTGTTTTTTTATAAGTGTGTCACTGTGGGGGCAGGCTTTGAGGATTCCTATTTATTTATTTGTAATTCTATGTGCACTGGTGTCAGAATCCCCTGGAACTGGAGTTAGACAGTTATGAGCTGCCATGTGGTTGCTGGGAATTGAACCCGGGTCCTCCTGAAGAGCAGTCTTTGCTCTTAACCACTGATCCGTCTCTCTAGCCCTTAATGTGCTATTGTAATTACTTAGTTAAGACATGAGGACATGCTAAAAAAGAAAATCAAACACTGATTATATTGTTTGTTATGTCAAAATATGATTTCTAGCTTCAGAGTTTCCTGTTGTGGAAAAACTGAACTGGCTGATCCATCTCCACTATATCCGGAAGGATTATGAAGCATGCAAGGTGAGAGACTACAACAATGGAGGGAATGAGAGGCAGGCTGGGCAAAACTAGCAGGGTCTGAAGCACATTGTGGCAGTTGATGTCTTGAATTTGCACCCCCTACCTTCCTGCTTTAAGCTTTTTGGTTTTCTTTGTTTTGGTTTTTTTCGAGACAGGGTTTCTCTGTGGCTTTGGAGGCTGTTCTGGAACTCCCTTGGTAGTCCAGGCTGGTCTCGAACTCACAAAGATCCGCCTGCCTCTGCCTCCCGAGTGCTGGGATTAAAGGCGTGCGCCACCACCGCCCGGCCCTGCTTTAAGCTTTATGTGTAGCTTTGACTTTAATTTTGTCTCTTCAGTGTGTTTCTGTATAGTAAATAGGACCAGGTTCCTTCCTGCTTAAAACTATCACGATTTTTCCCATTATACTAAAACCCTTTAGTATGACATTTTTAGTCATCCTCTTTCAACCCTCTCATTTGACTTAGCTTTTCTTCTACCCCTTGCCAACATACAGTTTGAAACTTTTTGCTTTGGGAAGCCTTCCTTAATTCACTGAGTTAGAATCAGAGATGCTGCTGTCTATTGAGCTCTGAAAGTACCTAAGCCAAGCCCATCGCTATATAGAACCCATGTGATTTACTCATCAGAGGATCCTAGTGTCTGTAATTAATGGTGCTTAGAAGGCTTCTCCTGTTTTTCTAGCTTCACTCGTTAGATTTTAAATCGGGTTGAGAACTTTTTTCTGTCATGAGCTATATAGTAACTTAATTTAATTTTTTTGAGATATGGCCTCACTTTGTATCCCTGGCTAACCTGGAACTTGCTAAGTAGACCAGGCTGGCCTTAAACTCACAGAGATTCACCTGCCTCTGCCTCCTGAGTGCTGGAATTAAATGTGTGTTTGCCTCCATGTCTGGCCAAGACAGTAATTTATAGATTTTAGTGTTGCTGTAGTCATCATCTCATATTTGTCATCATCATTTTGTTGTTTTTTGTTTTTGTTTGAAACAGGATTTCATGTAGCCCAGGTTAACCTCAAATTCAATAGGTAGTAGAGGATGACCTTGATTTCTTGATCTTGTTTCCACCTCCTGAGTGCTGGGATTGTAGGCATGTTCGATAATGCATGGCTTCTTTTTTAAATAACACAAAACAGAAAACTTTTTTAAAAAATTTAAATTTATGTGCTTGAATATTTTGCATACATTTATGTCTGTGCACAACATGCAAACAGTTCTCGAGGAGGCCAGAGATGGTGTCAAGTACTGGAGTTACAATTGTGAGTTGCCTTGTTGATGCTGGTTATCTAACCCCAGTCCTTTGGAAGAGCAGCAAGTGCTCTTAACTGCTGGGCTGTCTTTCCAGTTCTAAAAGTATTCTAAATGAAGGATATACAGAAATATCCCAAGAGCCCTTAGAGTGCTAACCTTCGTCTAAAATAAGTAATCATAAAAAAATTCTGAATGAACTACCTAATTAGTCATTATTAGTGTCCTCTGTATCTCATACATGCCCCTTGTCTATTTCTACTGTTTTCTTGGTAACGCCTAATCACTAACTCAGGTGTTCTTATTTTTTAGGCTGTGATCAAAGAACAACTTCAGGAGACTCAGGGGTTATGTGAATATGCTATCTATGTCCAAGGTAAGACATGTTGTTTCTTTTCTTAGTGGAAAAATATATTTAGCCTAGGTCCTTGAGAAACAAAGAACTTGGGAAATACTTAAATTCAAAAATTTTTTACAAAAGTTTTATTCACTATCCTTTGAAATTTGAACACAATTCTGTGTGTGTGTTGTGCATATACCTGGAAGCCAGTACATGACATCGGGTGAATATCTTTTTAAATATATTTTGAAATTATTGTTTTATATGTTTGAGTGTTTTGTCTGAATATATATCTGTGTGTTATGTTCATGCCTGGTGCCTGTGGAGGCTAGTAGACAGCATTGGAGCCCCTGGAACTGGAGTTACAGATGGTTGTGAGCCACCATGTGGATACTGGGAATTGAACCCCTGTCCTCTGCAAAATAATATTCTTTTTTTTTTTTTTTTACGAGACAGGGTTTCTCTGTATTGTTTTGGAGGCTGTCGGTCCTGCCTGGCCTTGAACTCACAGAGATCCACCTGCCTCTGCCTCCCGAGTGCTGGGATTAAAGGCGTGCGCCACCACCGCCCGGCCAAAATATTATTCTTATGAAGAATTTCTGTATCTGCAAAAAGACCAGTTACCTGATGCCGGGCGTTGGTGGCGCACGCCTTTAATCCCAGCACTCGGGAGGCAGAGGCAGGCGGATCTCTGTGAGTTCGAGGCCAGCCTGGTCTACAGAGCGAGTGCCAGGACAGCCTCCAAAACTACACAGAGAAACCCTGTCTCGAAAAACCAAAAAAAAAAAAAAAAAAAAAAAAGACCAGTTATCTGGGTATAGATGCTGGGAACAGAGTGGGTAGGTGGAAGTTAACTTATTATAGATTTTACCTTACTAACACTTTACTTGCTTTTATCCATTTAGTAATGACTGGTTGGATTAAAAGTTATCCAAAGGCTTTCTCTGATGTGGTATCTTATCTCCTCCTCCTCTTCCTCCTCTTCCTCCTCCTCCTCCTCCTCCAGTTTTTCTGATGCCAGCCTTTTCTTCCAAGAATATGGTTTATTTTCTATATTTTCTTTTGCTTGGCAGCACTGATTTTCCGCCTGGAAGGAAATATCCAAGAATCCCTAGAACTCTTTCAGACATGTGCTGTTCTCAGCCCTCAGTGTGCTGATAATCTCAAACAAGTGGCCAGATCTTTGTGAGTATTGGAGCAGTCACAGAAGACCACATACAATCTTTTCTCCTAGCCGGGTGGTGGTGGTGCTCACCTTTAATTCCAGCACTTGGGAGGCAGAGACTGGAGGATCTCTGTGAGTTCCAGGCCAGTCTGTTCTACAGAGATAGTTCCAGGACAGCTAGGTTGTTACACAGTAATACCCTACCTTGGGGTGGGGGGGATTTCTCCTGGGCCAGGCATTGGTGGCACACGCGAGACAGAGACAGGTGGGATCTCTATGAATTTGAGGTCAGCCTGCTCTACAGAGCGAGTTCCAGGCAGCCAGAGCTATACAGAAAAGGCTGGGGTGGTGGTGTCACAAGCCTTTAATATCCAGCACTTGGGAGGCAGAGGCAGGTGGATCTCTGTTAGTTCAAGGCCAGGGCTATACAAAGAAACCCTGTCTTGAAGAGAGAGAGAGAGAGAGAGAGAGGGAGGGAGGGAGGGAGGGAGGGAGGGGGAGAGGGGAGAGAGAGAGAGGGAGAGAGAGAGAGAGAGAGAAAAGAGAAGAGAGAGAAAGACAGAAAGAAAGAAAGAAAAAGAAAAAACAAACATAAATAAAAAGGCTTTCTCCTGAAATGCATTCTGGGGAGGGCCTGTTGCTGGCAGCCAGATTCCTGATAGGTAGAAGGCTGGTACTAGCTCAAGTTTTTAAAAAATTTCAACATTTTTAAAGTCTGTGGAATATGTAGAATGTGGAATATGAATTTGTAGAGTTAATCTTAGAAGACCTTAGGTTAGCTGGGTATGGCAGTACACACATGTAATCCTTGTACTTGAAGGTGGAGCCATGAGGATCAGAAGTTCAAAGTCATCCTTGGTTACACAGTGAATTGGAGGCTTGCCTGAGTTACATGAGAACCTGCCTCAAAAGAAACCAAAAACAGTGAAATATGAATAACTGTAGAAAATGTATTTTCACAGATTTCTTCTGGGAAAACATAAAGCCGCCACTGAAGTTTATAATGAAGCAGCTAAACTTAACCAGAAAGATTGGGTAAGAAATGCCATTTCTTTCTTAGCATGTTATTGGTTCCATTTATCAAGTGGCTTTTTCTTTGGAGATATGGTTTCATTATATGTATAGCCCTGGCTGGTCTCAAAAATCATTGTGTAGAGCAGACTGGCCTCAAACTCAGATAGATCTGCCTGCCTTCTGCGTCCATAGTGACCAGCCCTTGGCTAGAATTCTTAGATGATCAAACTGTCTTTTTGATTCTTTTTTCAGCATGGCATTTCTACATAACTTTGCAGGCATTGTTTTATAGTTTCCAGCTGTTAGTGTTGCTGATAGTTTCTCACTGGTCTGATCATCCCATCTTATTTCCAAGAGCTTTAAGAACTGAGTTGTTTTACCTTTGGAATCTGAAAGCATCAGCAGTAGATGTCTTCATTGCATGTTTTGTATTTTTTCCCTATCTGCTTGGCAATCAGCTGTTTCTTTTGCCTTTCTTTGGGTCATGGTAACTTTAAGAGGCTCTTTATTTTTCCTTCCATCATCTTCCCTTTCTTATTAGTGTATATTAATTGTAAAAACAATGTGTTTCACTGTGACATTTTCATAGTTTGATCATAGTCACTTCCTGTATTTCTTTATTTCCATCAGGTATTCATATAAATTGGGGATTATGTGTAAGTACAATACAAAATCAGACTAAACATTCTCTTTGCAAATTAACAGATTTTTCCCCCCTTGAAAAACCACACCACTGGTTTTGGCATTTACTTGGTAGTCCTAGAATTTCAGGGCTGAGACTTACTGAAGGTTAGTTAAATGGTGACCGCTGTAGCTCAGAAGTATTAATTCTTAGATAAGGAGCTCCAAGAAGCAAGGAAGAGCAGTCCCTGATAGAACCTTTGTTTCAGCCACAGCCTCTAAAAGGAAGGCTGGAAAGTACCATTTAAATCTGGAACTCAGCTGGAATTGGATTCTCTAGTAAAGTGTCTCTGGTGGATGAGCAGTTCCCAGTCTGTACACTGAATGTCACTTCCTATTGAAAAACCTCGGCATCAAAGCACCGGGCACTGAACTGAACCCTCTGCCCAAGAACTGGGGCCAGACCACTGGCTGCAAATGCAAGAGGTGATTTATTGAGTACACAGGCGCCTGCAGATGCTACTGCAACTCGGGTGCAGAGCATACCGGGCTTTCAGGGAGTACAATATTTATAGAGTTTCAATGGTTACATAAGTAACAGGCATTTCATTGGTTCATCTTGGGGGCAGGAGTAGTTCCCACGGACTAAGTTTCCTGATATTACTTTATGAAAGACCCAGGCATGCTTCAGCAATTATTATCCTGGTCCCATGACTACTATGGTGATCATAGACACAACTGGGAGCAAGGGTAGTTGCCAAGGACTAGGTGTCCTGGTATTGTCATATGAAAGTTCCCAGCACGCTTCAGTAATTATTATCCGGGTCCCATGATTGCTGTAGTGATCAGACACAATTGGGGGCCAGGGTAGTTGCCAAGGACTAGGTTTTCTAGTATTGTCATATGAAAGTTCCCAGCACGCTTCAGCAATTATTATCCGGGTCCCATGACTGCTATAGTGATCACAGACATCCTGTTTTGAGGGTGAGACATCTGGTCTGGGTTTCTTTCATTAGGCAACGGCCTGGCCTTGCTTTTCTTTTCCTAGGGGGTCCTGGGTAGGGGTCTTTCACTATCAGACACAGCAGCTCTGTGGCTTTTAACTTGCCTCTCATTTTCTATTATTTTACTCTTTACACCCATTTTTACATCTTTGCATTTCTCAGTCTTATTGCCCAGATCACTGTTTTTGCTATTAGCTATATATATCCTAGTAGCCTATCCTTTCCCTTAATTTCAGTAGTTGTATTTTGATTTCTAATTTGTCTTCTCTCCCTCCCTCCCTCCCTCCCTCCCTCCCTCCCTCCCTCCCTCACTCTATCTTGTTTGTTTGCCTGTTTGAGACAGGGTTTCACTATGTAGCCCTGGCTGTCCTGGCACTTGCTCTGTAGGCCAGGCTGACCTCAAACTCACAGAGATCCGCCTGCCTCTGCCTCCCAAGTGCTGGGATTAAAGGCGTGCGCCACCATGCCTGGCTTTTCTTTTCTATCCCCACCCCCTCTCCTCTTATAGCACTCTCTCCGAATCTTAGTCTTGAAGTTCTGTAAGTTTCCACAATTACCTTTGTCTTTCTGCTTTCCTTTTAGTTCTTTTTATACTGTTGACTGATTCTTGAAGAGACCTTCCTATCAGAGAAGTAGATTGATTATACTAGAGAGATAGCATGGTTCCCCTTGGAGTCCTTAGGGCACTATTTATTAAAAGTTTAATAATATTTTATTTATTGTGTGTTCACAGGGCATTTGGAGTGGGGGCAGGGGTAACCCATGTGAGCTCGTTCTCTCCCTTCACCATGGGTGGAGGGTTTGAACTCAGGTCTGTGGACTTGGCCAAAAGTACCTTTGCCCAATGAGCCTTCTTGGCAGCATTATTATTTTCTAAGTATATTTCAATCTCAGTTATTTTTTCCCTCAGGGTGTGATTCTTAAGTTAATTTTTTATCACATCAATATTTATTTTTGTGTATGTACTTTATGTATATGTGAGGACACATATGCTCTGGTGAGTGTAGAGGTTAAAGGACAGCTTGCAGGAGTTGGTGCTTTCCTTCAGTAGATTGTCAGGGTTAGTGGCAAGTGCTTTTGCCCACTGAGTCTTCTTAGTGTCGTCTCCCTTGTCTTTGTAGACAAGGTCACATTTAGCCCAGGCTGGCCTTGAATTAGCTGTATAGCAGAGGATAGCCTTGAATTCCTGATCTCTCTGTCGTTACCTCCCAAGGGCTGAGCTGAGTTGAATCATTAGTGGCCAGTGTGAAACTACACATCCAGTTAGATTAGAGCTGGAAGCAGCTCAGGAGGCTCTGGGCCCTGCAGGTGAGCATGAGTAAATACACACTCATTTATTTTCTGATTTTTGGACAAAGTAAGTTTTAGGTTCTGGTAAGATATCTAAACTGAGATCTGTCCAGTGCATAGTTGGATGAAGAGTCATGATATTCTAGGTTATATATAAATATTTTGGAGTCAGGAACATAAAGTTAGTAAGTGAAACCATGAAACTGGTTGAGATAGTCAGTTGGCAGTGAGTTGAGGGTGGAGCTCAAGAAGAGCAGAACAGAAAAAAAAGATGGAAGATGAGTCAGGAGGGCTGGGCAAAGGGGAGATGAAGTATGTCTGCTGCTCCATGTAGCTGAAAGAGTTCACTTGGTATTATGACTCACTTGGGACATCAAACAGCCAGGTATCATCTTGTGGGAAACCTTTTAGCTCTACTTTCTTGTACTCATCATGAGATTCCACAATCTGGTTCTAACAAGGAGTTAATACCTTAATGCTATTGTCTGGACTTCAGAATGAACTGTTAAGTAGGGGGCATTTCCACTGATGTCAAGAGAGAAAGCTGAGACTTTGGGGGATGCAATGACATGGCAAAGGGCACACAGTGAGGTGGCAGAAGAGCAGAAGGAAGTTGCAAGCGCAGTCTAGGATTGCTAAATATAGCCTAAGAGTTTTCTGCAGTGTCTACTGCCTTGGCAAGATGTCCCTGGATACTCAGAGAGAGATAGGATTTGACTCCAATTTGTTCTATTTTCCTTTCCACATTTCCTGTGCTGTTCATTGTTTAAGGCATCCTGATGCTATCTTCTCAAATATCACCTATAGCAGTGATTCACAAGATTAAGGGTCAGTTAATATGCAGAGTATTAAATGACAAGAAAGGTGTTTCTCTTGTCTGTTCATGTACTTATAACCTGATGAAGTGGAGTACATGTAAGTTTTGGAGACAGGCTTGAACTGAAGGCACAGTTCTTGGTAATGTAAACATTATTTCAGTTGTAGTTTAAGAGAAATTAGAGCACTTGCATACATAGCAAGTGCAAGGGCTTGAGTTTGGCCGTCTGCAAAGCCAGAAGAGGACATTGAATCTCCTGAAAGTTAGGTTATAGATGGCAGTGAGCCACCATGTGGGTGCTGGGAATGAACCCAGGTCCTATGCAAGAACAACAAAGTGCTCTTAACTGTGAAGCCATCTCTTTAGTCCTGAATTTTTTTAAAGACCATGTCGTTTGAGAAATGTACTGAAATACTTGTGAGTGAAATGTTACAACTGTTTGGTAATTGGTTATAAAATAATAGTAGACAGGGTAAGGATTGTATGGTTGTAGGACTTATTAGTCTGTGGTTTTGCTATTTACATTTGTACATAGAATACAAAACTAAACAAAGAAGAAAAAAATCCCAGCACTGTCACTTTCTGTGTTAGGAAAACTATCTAACCTCTCTGAGCTTTGGTCTCCTATAAAGCTAAAAAAAAAAAAAATACTGATGTGGCAGATTTCTTGGAAAATTAAATATATAACAACATCTGGCATGGAGCCTACTATATAATAGGTGATCTACCACTGATTGCTTTGTTCCAGAAGATGTGGAACAAGACGCATTAAACTACTTGTCTGTGTTCCTGAAACAGGGTTGCATCCCTACCACTTGTAGGGTGCTGGGCCCTTGCTGCCTTCCAGGAACACTTTTCTTAATCCTGGTTTCTTTTCTAAAGCTGCTAATGTCAGATTTATTACAAAGGAATTCCGGAGGTTTCACAACACTTATGGTCAGAAGACAGATTAGTCTTACAGTGAACTAGAATTAGAAATTGTCAGCAGCCAAGGCAGTCACTGTGGATTTTTGATTCATCTTTCTTTTCTGCAGGTCCGAGGCTGGCAAACTCTTTTTTTGCAAGGAACTATTTAGTATACAGCCATTACATGTATTTATATAGTATTGCAGGTTTTTACACTTACAGCTACTTAACTCTGTAGCTTTGGTTCTAGTGTAGAAGGAAAGGAAGTAACCCTGTTCTGATAGAATGTAATTTACAAAGGAGAAGAATGGACTTGCCCCCACTGACCTCTGCTATAGATTTCAGTAGATTAGCCACAGATCTGGGAAGATTCTGTCAGCTCTTTTGCATCTTATAATTTTTTTTAAATTTTATGTCTGGGTGTTTTTGTCTACATGTATGTCTGTGCACCACATATATGCCTGGTGCTTGGAGGCCAGAAGAGGGCATGTAACTCCTGGAACTGGAGTTACAGATAGGTTGTGAGCTGCCATGTGGGTGTTGGTACTCAAAACTCAGTTCCTCTACAAGAACATTCAATGCTCCTAACTGCTGAGCCATCACTCCAACCATACATTTTATAATTGTAATTAAAATGATATATACTTAGGAAGTTTTTTTTGTAGAATCCCGTGTATTTATGAACACCAAAAACCCCAACTACAGTCTTTAGACTGCTGTGTTCAACTGCTTACTGTAGACTAACTCCTCACCACTCTCTTTTCTTTTGTAGGAGATCTGCCACAACCTGGGGGTGTGCTATACTTATCTAAAGCAGTTCAACAAGGTAATTCATAAAAATGGTGATGGTGGTTGACGGGAATTTACTGTGGTTCATTTGTCACAGAAGAGCCACTGTCTACTATTTTTGGTTCTACTGTCTGCAGAGCTTGGGTAGTAAAAATTGCCTTTTATAGTCATTGCTGTGTTAATACTTATCATTACTCATTTTCCCTACTTTCTTATGATTTATTTATTTTTATTTTATGTGCATTGGTGTTTTGTCTGCATGTATGCCTGTTGTGAGGGTGTCAGATACATTGGAACTGGAGTTACATATGGTTGTGAGCTTCCATGTTGGTGCTGAGAATTTAACCTGGATCCTTGGAAGTGCAGCCAGTACTCTTAACCACTGAGCCATCTCTCCAACCTATTTTTTCCTACTTTTGATTTAAAGGGGGGGCAGAATTCTAGACTATCAGTGGCAGTCCAGTTGCCTTCTCTCTCCTTTCTCTCCACCTCCCATTAAATGTTCTAGTATAGAAACACATATACAGTAAGACACGTATCAAAAAGTGGACCTTCTCAAGGCTGGAAAATGAATTTATGTGTGTTGAATTTTGTTTTATGATAAGATTTTTTTTTCTGATGTGAATTTATATTTCACTCTGACAAACTCTGTGCTCTAAGACTTTAATATAAGACAAAGCATGTTAATCTTACCTTGGTTATCAAATTAAGAAATAGTTACCTGTTTTTTTTGTTTTGTTTTGAATTAAAATTTGGAAATTTTTAATTTTACTATGTGTATTGATGTTTTGCCTGAATGTATGTCTGTGCACCATGTGTGTGCCTTTGGATGCCAGAAATTTGTTCCCCAACTGCATGTTGGGAATTGAACCCCAGGTCATCTGGAAGAGCAGCCAGTGTTCCTAACTACTGATTCATCTCTCTAGCCCTAGATACATTAATTGAAGAACAGGTGAATTTTTGAGAGTTCCAAAGAGTAGTGATGGTGATTATAGTTTCCTTCGTAAACTGAGGCTTTATCCTCCTTTTTTTTTTTTTTTTTTTTTTTTGCTGCCACCAAGACTGACTCTCATTAATACCCATTTAACAATGCTTTGCAAGACCACAGTATAAACTAGTCTATCTTTCAGGATATGACAAATGTCTGCATATAGCAAGTGGAGTGTAAGAATTATTCTTTGTAAGTCATATATAATACAATATGTATTCAGTGGGACACATAGGTTTTCTTTTTCTTTTTTTAAAGGTTTATTTACTTATTACGTATACAGTGTTCTGTCTGCATGTATGCCTGCAGGTCAGAAGAGGGTACCAGATGTCACTACAGATAGTTGTGAGCCACCATGTGGTTGCTGGGGATTGAACTCAGGACCTCTGGAAGAGCAACCTGTGTTCTTAACCGCTGAGCTGATTAAATTTTTCTCTTCAGAGACTTTTTGATCAAGTACATTCCTGTTCATAGTATAGCTAAGTCTTCAGTATTAGTCTTTGGACCTGTAGTGAGGTAGAGCATTATATTTAGATTTATTATAATGCCTAACAGGCTAAACAAACACAACACCTTTATAGAAGCCCTTTTTGAATTGGTGAATGAACAAGTTTTTTTTTTCAGCCTACTAAGATGTAGGCTCTTCCAGAGCAAAAAGTTATTTTATATTTGCTCTTTGTTGTGTGGTGTTGGAGACTAAACCCAGAGCCTCGACGAGGCAGGCACAACCATAGCATTATTTTCTTGTTAACTCTAGTATACCAGGCATCTGGACCAGCAGGTCCACAATGAGTACTTGTTGAGTGAATAAGTGGAACAACTTTGGTGTTTGTTTGTTTTCACACTGTAGAGGCAAACAACCCAGCTGGTGAAGGTTGTACAGGCAGTCAGGAGTGTAGGTGTGGTTGAGTTTGCAGTGGTATCCTATACTGTACTATAATGTCCCGTTGAGGTTTTGAAGTTTAAGTCATTAGGTATAAATACCAAACAGCAAGCATTCAGAAACTTGATCATCACATATGAGCTCAGCAAAAGGCTATGCTTGGTTTTTAGGTGGTAAAAGCTATTTTTTGAGACATGATGTTCCCACATAAGAACATCAAAGCTCTGCCTTCACATTCACCATAGAAAACCACTGTCCTTCAGCAGTATTGATTTGGTTATCTTTACTCCATTAAACTTTAATTAGGCACAAGACCAATTGCACAGTGCCCTCCAGCTTAACAAGCATGATCTGACTTACATAATGCTGGGGAAGATCCACTTACTGGAGGGAGACTTGGACAAAGCCATTGAGATCTACAAGAAAGCAGTAGAGTAAGTGTCTCTTTCTCTTAGACTCTAAAGAGCTTGCCTACCCTTTTAACATTGTAACATGAAATTATCACCTACAAAGTTCACCCTCAAGAACTGCACAATTGAATATCAAAAAAAAATTATTAACCCCTCCACACAAATCTCAGTTTTCTGTAATCTACCATTTTTGTTGGGACACATTCATAACTATCATGGAACCCTTGCAGCCCATGGGCACAGGTTGAACACACCTACTGGAAGCAATGAGAAAAGCAATGGAACAGATATGTAAACTCTTAGGAGAACAGATTGTTTCTTTTTTCTACAACAGTATCTTCACAGGCCAAGTGGAGATTTAGGTTCTTTAGTGTTTTTTTTTGTTTTGTTTTGTGTTTTTTGTTTTTCACCTGCATGATTAAAGGTGGGTAACTTAACTGTAACATGCATTCTAGACCATATGGAAGCAAGATGATACTGGAAGCTAAATATGGAATAAGCATCTCTACCTTTAAATAACCCTAAAATTGTACACTTTTTGAAATTTGATAGGAGCACACAGCTGTAAAGGAAGAGGGTGGGCATCCACTCTGGCATGAATTTGGGGTCAGCTGGTAGTGTAATCATCTAGCTTAATACTTTATAGCAGATCCTGTGTTCCTAGAGATCACATTAGGGACAGAAACCTCCTAGCTCAGTAACAGACATGTGGTTTTATTAGTCTGAGACCATTGTCTTGTATTACTGTTATTTTACCTTTTTATGCCGAAGATACCATCTTGCCCATGCTTAATCAAACACAAGTGCTACAACTCAGCTGCACTCCAGTCACAATATCATGGGTTTTGTTGTTGTTGCTGTTTAAAAAAATATCAAGGTAGCCTATTAACCTCTCGATAATGGATGACTGAATTTCTCATGCTACTGTCCCAAGTTTCCTTTCTAGGGACACATGAACTCTTGTCTTTTCTGTATAGTATTATCTTGTTTTATTTATTTGAGACAGGATCTCAGCATGTAGCCCTGGCTGCCTTGAACTTGCTATGTAGACCACATTGGTCTGGAACTTATAGAAAGCCTCCTGTCTCTGCACCAGGCTTGATTTTTTTTTTAATAGGACAACTTTACTAAAATACTCAGGTGTTTTGTTTGATCACAGAATAGAATGTGTGTGACTCATGAACTAAAATTTTGAATTGGTGTAGAGTACCGGTCACTTCTTAGATTCATCTATCCAGGGTGAATTTCCTGCCTATATCACTCATAGCATTTCTTTATGCATTTTATTTAACTACATTTTGTGACAGAAAAATCTCTTGTATTTGGTAAGCTACAGCAAATTCTATCATCAAAAAGGTCAGGTTTATGTAGACAAGTAGGAAGGATCCATCAAACAAATCAAAGGCTTCAGTAATGCTGGAGAGTAGGCTTATTCCTGACCCTTGTCCTATATAAATTGGCATTTTGAGTTAATACACATAAACCCAGTAAGGGTACTGACAGTGACTGCTCAAGAGAGTTGAGTCACTTTCCAAGGAGAAAACCAGACAGTTGAGCATCTGAGATGGTAGGTTCAGGACCCGAAGCTCTGCAGAGAACTGTTCTTGGCAGGAGAACGGATACAGATGGAGTCAGAAGAATGGGAAGCACAAGTTACATATGTGGTTTGGGACAGGGCATGATCAAAATGGATCCTTACTACAGAAAGGTGAGAGGCAAATTCTCTATTGCACTGAGAAAGCTGTTTGGCAGCTCAGGCATAGGTTGGGCTTTGGTGGTTCTGGACTTTCTACAAGGAACGAGCATTTTCCTTTCCTTTCCTTCCTCTCTCCCTCCCTCCCTCCCTCCCTCCCTCCCTCCCTCCCTCCCTCCCTCCCTTCCTCCCTCCCTCCCTCCCAAGCAAGAGACAGTTCCTTGTTCTTTGATGCTTTAAACATTGAAACTGATGACCCTATATTTAGATGATCTCACCTCTGTTGCTTTGGCTTTTTGACAAAGACAAGTATCAGTGAGAGACTGAGAAGGCAGATAATACTTAGGTGAGTGTTTTCCCCAAGACCCAGCATCAAAGTCTGTCCAGGGCTGGAATGTGCCTTTCTTCTTTTGCTTAGTTTGGCAAGTTAGTTTAGAGAGCAGTGTCAGGGGCCTTTGAGTCCTAAATAACACAGGAAGAAAGATGTCTACCATTGTTAAGCAGAGAGACTTCCCAACAGAGGGACTAGCATAACTGTGCCCTGACTGACTTGGCTTGAGCTTGGTTATTTTCAGTGTGATGAGTCATTCCACACAGTTCTTTTTTAAGGTTGCTGGATTCTAAGCCCCATTTCATTCTGCTAAGCAAGCTGGGCGTTGGTGGCGCACGCCTTTAATCCTAGCACTTGGGAGGCAGAGGCAGGCAGATCTCTGTGAGTTTGAGGCCAGCCTGGTCTACAGAACAGAACAGCCTCCAAAATAATACAGAGAAACCATGTCTCAAAGGAAAAAGAAAACAAACAAACCATTCTGCTAAGCAGGTCTTCTCTGTTTCCAGGATTGAGATGTTTTGCTTTTGAAGGAAATTGCCAAACTGCCCTCAGTTGACCTGGGAACAGAAGAGGTTTAATAAAGGGTCCTGAGTGTTGGCAGTGGGGCAGATAGCTGTCCAAGTCTGTACCTCACAACCATTGTTTCCTTGTGAGCATCTCTATGTTACAGGTTCTCGCCAGAAAATACAGACCTTCTTACAACTTTAGGATTACTCTACTTACAGGTAATGAAAACTGTTTATTTACACATTGGCATTAGAAATGCTTTAGGGTTTGTATCTATGGTGGTTTTCTTCATTTTTCTATTTGACACATTTTACTAACAGTCACAGTACACACAATAAACACTGGTTTGCTTTTATATACTAAAGAATTAACATTGGTTCTCAAGACAATTCTATTTCAGTCTAGAGTAGTAGCAATTCTTATGCAATAGGGTGTATATATATACATATATATATACACACACATACACACACATACACACACACATATATATATGTGTGTATATATATATACACACATACACACACATATATATATGTGTGTATATATATATATATGAATGAAATGGCTGTGTGACTTGGGGCCATTATCTTATTGTTGGGTGGAAGGAAGAGAAACTGATGTATTTTTACTACTTTGTGGGGCTTTGAGGCCAAGACTGTTCCCATTTGTTCATCTTGCTAGCTAAGGTCCTGCAGGAGATAGGAGTAAGGGATAGAATTTTAGAGAGGAAACCTCCCCTTCCTTTCAGTTCCTAATCGTGGATGGGACTCTTAAGTCTGCCACTTCTGTCCACCTGAGTCCCTGAAGCCCCAGATGTCTTACCCTGCCTACCCTGCAGGTTCCTGCTCAGCTGATATGAATCTGAAGTAGTTTTTATAACTATTGCTTTAAGAAGAACCAAGGGTTTACCTCTCAGTCCTCTGGGCTTTATTGTGAGCAGGCTCAAAGGACATGAAGCTAACTACCATAGTCCCAGCTAGGAGGCATTAATATTGATCAAAATGAGTGTTTCTGAAATGGTTTTTTGGGCAGAAGATATTTTAACCTTATTAGGAGAAAAATAAGAAAACCACAAACATGGAGATTTGCATTTTATTTGGCATATCACTTTTTTTGAGTCTTTATTTTTTACATTCCAATCCCAGTTCCCCCTCCCTTCTCTCCTCCCACTTCCTCTACTTCCTCCCTATGCCACCTCCCATCTGCTCCTCAGAGAGGGTAAGGCCTCCCCTAGGAAGTCTACTAAGTCTGTCCCATCATCTCGTTGAGGCAGGACCAAGGTACCTCCTCACCCACCACACCTCTGTGTCTAGGCTGAGCAAGGTATCTCTCCATATAGAATGGGCTCCACTAAGTCAGTTTGTGCATTAGAGTTAGATCTTGAGCCCACTGCCTGTGGCCTCATACATTGTCTCAGTTGCACCATTGTCCCTATATAAGGGAGTCTAGTTCTGTCTTATGCAGGTTCCGCATTTGTCAGACTGGAGTCAGTGATCTTTCACTAGCTCGGGTCAGCTGATTCTGTGGGTTTCCCCATCATGGTCTTGACTCTTTTGTTCATATTATTGTTCTTTCACTTCAGTTGTATTATAGGACCTTGGCCCAATGGTTAGTTGTGGATTTCTACATCTGCTTCTATCTGTTTCTGGAAGAGGGTTTAACTTCTCTGGGGTTGTGGATTGTAGACTGGGTCTTTTGCTGTATGTCTGGTATCCACTTATGAGTGAGTACATACTATATTTGTTTTTCTAGGTCTGCATTACATCACTCATGATGCTTTTTTCTAGTTCTGTCCATTTGTCTGCAAATTTTAGGATGTCATTATTATTATTTATTATTACTATTACTACTATTACTACTACTATGGTGGGATGGGATCAAGAAAACTCACAAATGACTGCATGTTTCCATTCAGGGTACAGTTGGCCAGACTTCAGAACTGACATCTGCCCCCTGAGGTAAATCCTTTGGTTTGCTTTCTTTCAAGCTCGGAGTTTACCAGAAGGCATTTGAACATCTTGGGAATGCACTGACTTACGACCCTGCCAACTACAAGGTATTGCAGGCTGTTGAACCACAGAGCCTTCCTATAGATAGTCCCATGCTCTCTATAGATGATTAGACCCTAGGAAACAGGGGATAGGTTTATCATTTTAACACCCAAGAAGTTTACTTTGTGTGTATCGGTATGTTGGTACTAGGGAACAAAACCAGAGCTTTGTGTGTGCTAGGCAACTAATCTACCACTGAGGTACATCCCTGTCTCAGAAATCACCTTTTATTTATAATTCTCACTTTTAAAAGTTAGTTTTGGGGCTACAGAGATGGCTCAGTGATAAAGAGCACTGGCTGCTCTTCCAGAGGTCCTGAGTTCAATTCCCAGCAACCACACGTTGGCTCACAGTCATCTATAATGAGATCTAGTGCCCTCTTCCAGTGCACAGGAAGAACACTGTATATATAATAAATAAATAAATCTTTTTTTAAAGGTTAGTTCTTACTGAAATAATAGTTAAGTGTTGATGCTCAGTTTCTTTAAAAGGAGTACATTTGTGGTAAAAGACTGTCACAAAGTTCAAGTGCCATTAGAATTCATGTGTTGCTTGAGAATTTAGACAAGCTTCCACAACAATTGTCTTGATCCTAATGAATTTGAAATTATAACTTCCAGATGTGACTTGGGGGTAAGAAAGAGAATGAACATTAATGAGGGAGACAGCTGTTCGACACAAACTTGGTCATCATTTAGGAAGTCAGTAGCCTGGCTCTGTTGGTTCCCCACCTGATACCTTTCCTTAAAGAAATGATAGGGCTGGACTGATAAAAACTAAAGCTAAGCTCGGCATAGTGACTCGTGTCTTTTATCCCAGAACTCGGGACGCAGAGGCAAGGCAGGTAGATATCTGTGAGTTCCAGGCCAGCTTGGCCTACAAAGGGCCGGACAGCCAGTTGTTACAGAGAAATCCTGTCTTGAAAAACCAAAAGCAAACAAAAACCCAAAAACTAAAGCCTCTATGTGAGGTATCTGAGCATTTAGTAATTGTAAGCATTTAGTATACAAAGTAAGGCAGATGAAAGGCAGCCATTACTAGAATACTGGTTTCCCTAGCTAGAAGTAGGAGACAAATGGAGCAAGATAGAGCCAGTGACATTATATGGTTTTTATACTGTGGGATTCCAAAGACATTTCTTACGAGTACCTGTCCTAGTAGTTTGTTGGTCATGTCTGTGCTGATGGGCTTACTGTGTACACTCAGGAGACTGTCTCATGGCCTTCTTGGATGACTGAATTACTAACTTTACATGAACTATGTTTTCAGGCCATCTTGGCAGCAGGCAGCATGATGCAGACCCATGGGGACTTTGATGTTGCTCTCACCAAGTACAGAGTTGTAGCTTGTGCTATTCCAGAAAGTCCTCCACTTTGGAATAACATTGGAATGTGTTTCTTTGGCAAGAAGAAGTATGTGGCAGTGAGTGTTCCTTATAATCTTTGTTGGATACTCATCCATGTGGGTATTGGGTCTGCTGAGCTTGTCTTATGCTGAGTTGAGTGCCCCTGTTTCTACAGGCTATCAGCTGCTTAAAACGAGCCAATTACTTGGCACCCTTCGATTGGAAGATTCTGTACAATCTGGGCCTTGTCCATTTGACTATGCAGCAGTATGCATCAGCATTCCATTTTCTCAGTGCAGCTATCAACTTCCAGCCAAAGATGGGGGAACTCTACATGCTCTTGGCTGGTAAGGGACATTTATATAAAAATCCCTTCCTGTGAGTCATAATGAGGGAACAGTTTATTAGAATCATAGTTAAATGTACTAAAGTAGACATTCCTTTGGAGATCCTATAGGAATTTGAATTACTGTCTTAGAGTTTGAAGAAGTTTAAAATAAAAGGTGTCCAGGTAGTGGTGGCACATGCCTTTAACCTTAGCACTTAGGAGGCCAGTCTGGTCTCCTGAGTAAGGTCCAGGACAGCCTCCAAAGTTATAGAGAAACTGTCTCAGGGAAAACAAAAACAAAAACAAAAAAGAAAGAAAAGGTGACCAGGTATCTGGTTGCTTGTAACCTGAAGGTTTTGAACTCAGTCTTGACAGGTTAAATTAAAATCATCCTTTTTCTTTTGAAAAGACTGGATCCTTGCTGGCCTGAAACTTACTATAATCTTCAACTCAGAGATCTGTATGCCTCTGCTTCTAGAGTGCTGGGATTAAAGGAGTGTACCACCACACCTAGCTTTTTTAAAGAAGAATTTAAAATTTATTTTTAAATGTCTGTGTGTAAGTTTGTGCACACGAGTCTAGAAAAAGGCATTGGGTTCTTTGGAACTAGAGATATAGAGCCATCTGATGTGGGTGTTCTCACAACCAAACTTGGGGATCCTCTGCAAGAGCTGCAAGTACCCTTAACCATTGAGCAATCCCCTCAGAGTTCTCCTTTTCCCTATTTTTTTTTTTTTTTTTGTGCTGGAGATTGAACTCTGGGCCTTGCATGTAGCTTAGGTAAACATTCTACCACTGAGCTGAACTCACAGTCCTCATATATATTGAACCTAATTGATTTGAGCTCACTAATTAAGAACCTGGGTGTAAGTACAGTGGAGTTCTGCCAGGATACTAATTGTATATACTCAGGGTTGATATGAGATTATATGACTAAACATAATAAATGTTTAAACTTTGGGGGTTTATCATGGTTACTAAATCCTTTGATCCTTTGTCCCTTTTCAAAAACAAAACAACAACAACAAAAATTTATACCACAGTGCACATATGGAGGTCAGAGGACAACTTGAGGGAAAAGTTTGTCCCTTCCAGGAACCCAACTCAGGTCATCAGACAGCAAGCACCTTCACTCATGAGCCATCTCACTGATCCCATTGTTATCTTTGTTAATATAACTGGTAGTTCAAATGAAATAGACAATCATTCTAGCCCCAACTTCCATTTATGCTATACAAAATAAATTAAGGTGGGCAGAGGTGGATCATGTCTATATCTCTGGCTTTTGAGGTAGAGGTAGGGAGATAATGAATTTGAAGCCAGACTGAGCTACATTAGTGAGACCCCTTATACTGTTTCAAAAGAACACAACAAAAAGCATTTTAAAGAACTTAATAGTCCTTTTAGGGAGTTTTTCCTAGTGTATATTTTGATCATTACTGTGGTGTTTTCAATTTATGAAAGATCAAATGCAACCACATGAAGGTTGTTTGGAGAACACCAGAATACAAAGCTTGTTCAAATTTCAGGAGAGGCGCAGAACCTTACTGTAAGAGAAGAATGTCTCACTGCTTACATTAGGGCAGAAGCACCAGTTCTAACTTGACAAAGTAGAGCCAGCCTCACACGGCCCTAAGGACAGACTAAACTTGAATGTCCACATAGTATATGGCTGTGGAATGGTGCATGATCCTTCTGTATTCCTAGGTCTCATAGTTGCCTGTTTGACTGCTGGGAAGGTGGAGCTGCTATTTTTAGGTTTATATATTAGACTTTCAAGATATCCTGAGTTTAAAAAAAGAGGGGAATTGTCTGTGGCTCACTAAGTTTTAAGGATCATGGTCATAGGTGATGGGGAACAAGTGAGGACTCTTAGGTAGGACAGTAATGTGGTCAGTTTGTAGGTCAGCAGGAGGATGGAGGCAGGTATAGACAAATGGAGAACTTGGTTTGGGCTTGAACCCATGACACTGCAGCTAATTGCTGTGGTGGGGCATCTGAGCTGAAGGATGAAAGCGACTTTATTTTGAGAGTGGTCTAAAGTATAATTTTTGCTGTCTAAGATAAGCTCTCCTGATTTTCTCTGTGGCAGTGGCATTGACCAATCTGGAAGATACAGAAAATGCAAAGAGAGCATATGAAGAAGCTGTCCGCCTGGATAAGTGAGCATTCTGTTCTGTGGGGAAGGGCCAGGGAGTGTTATTCTGCAAAGTGTGCCATAGGACTAATGCTGCTGGAGTCAGCTTAGCACTGTGCAGCATAAATTTGGAAGGTTGTGGTTTTTAAGCCAAGCAGAGCATAGCAAGAATTAAAAGCCTGAGAATACAATTCCTGAGTTTTGTAATCTAAAGCAAGTCACGAGCTGGCAGCACTCTGGTTTGGGTTGCTAATAAGCTGTGAGCTAACCAGATGAGCAGGTGAGACTCTGGGCTCAGCTTAATGAAAGACAAATGAGATTCCTGGGGGAATTTATTCCCCCATAATTTGCTACTCAGCAGGTCTGAGACCTCTTGTTCAGCCCTTCCCCTGGTGGCTTTGTTGGTGACAGACTTGGTCCTTATCCTGCTTGGCTGCTTGGGCAGTTAGTTCCTTGACTCTGTCCCATGGGTCGGTCAGTCACATAGCACTTTGCTGTATAATGGGGACAACCCTAGTTAGCTTTGTTTGGATTTCATATAACGAGAAGGATCTTCAAATGACTAATTTTTGCAGAGCCCCAGTCCCACAGAGTCCCTGTCTCTCTGCCACAGATGTAACCCTTTAGTAAACCTGAACTATGCTGTGCTGCTGTATAACCAGGGTGAGAAAAAGGGTGCCCTGGCCCAGTACCGGGAGATGGAGAAGAAGGTCAACTTTCTCAAGGACCACAGTCCTCTGGAATTTGATGCTGAGGTATGTCTCTTATTAGCAGTTATCACTATCCTGTCTCTTGTTAGCATCATTACTATCACGTCTCTTATTAAGTAGGTGTTAGTAGATGAAAGGTATCATAAGCTCATGTTTCTTTGGGCTTCATGTTCATTGCAGCATGAATTTGCCAGTTAGTTACAGTCTGAGACAAACTTTGCTAGAAGAAAGTAACAAAATAATTCAGGCTTACTGAGCTGTGTTCTCACTAATACAGCTTATCAGAACAGGAAGTTTGACCAGGGAAGCATCAAACTTGAATTATTGGATTTTGAGATCCTGTAAGGAGTCCTCTTGGTATCTAGTAAGCAGCCTGTATTCTTTATTAGAGAATGACTTCCTTAGGCCAAGTGCTGTAATCCTAGCACTAGAAAGTGATTTCCTTATTATAAATATTTTCCTCCTTCAACTGCTATTACCAGCAGGCAGCTTGGCTCTGCTGGTCTTTTCAATGGCTTGTTTTCTTCCTATGCGGGCACAAGATGGTCGAGATGGCTCAGAAGTTGGGAGCGGCCCTCCAGGTTGGAGAGGCACTGGTCTGGACCAAACCAGTCAAAGACCCAAAGTCAAAGCACAGGACCAATTCAGCCAACAAATCTGCTGCTCTCCAGCAGCCTCTGGGCTCCAATCAAGCTCTAGGACAAGCAATGTCTTCAGCAGCTGCATACAGGAAGCTCCCTTCAGGTAGGAGGCTACACAGAGCTCTGTGAAGACTTAGTGGGGATAAGCTACTTCTATCAGCAGAGATCCCAGCTTTGAGCGAGACTTGCACTCTGCAAACTAATGGCCAGTTTAGTACTAGCCAGAGAGGAAAAGCCCAGAGTGACCAAACTGGCATTTGTTTCTAAAGGGCAAGCTGTTAGGTAGATAATTTTTAGGTTTAGAAATGCATTACTAAGTGCATGCTGTTGTACATTTTTGCTTTAATTTTCACAAGCTTAATGTTTTATTTCTTCAGTTATGGGCATCCCTCCTAGCTGAAGGATGCATTACAGTCTTGGTAGTCTCAGACAATACAAGGTTCCCTCTTAAATGATTTCTTCTGAAATGGAATATCTAAGAATTCAAGTTTTGTTTCCTTGCAAGGTGCTGTCGGAGCCCAGCTCACAAAGCCACCATCACTTCCATTGGAGCCAGAGCCAGAGGCCACTGTGGAGGCAAGCCCAACAGAAGTATCAGAACAAAAGAAAGAAAAATAGCAACAAACACAAGAAAAACAGGATGACCCTGGAGTAGGGAGTCTCTTAGGTGAGACCATGTAGAAGGTGGTCATATGACCAGGCAGGTGGAGGCCAGCCCTGTTCCCTGGGTGGGCACTGCAGAATTAAAACAGAACACAGGGTGCGCTGTGATGATCAAGAGGAGCCTAAAGCCCACGCAGCTCTTACCTGGCCCCATCATCAAGGAACGAGGGAGAAGAAAGACATGCTAGATAGGCTTGAAGCCCCACATGTATAGCTCCAAGAGTCAGCAAGATGATCAAAGACCATTACTCGATGAAGGACTTTTATCTTGGTAAAGGGAAAGGGACCTCTGCTCAGCAGCCTGTGGTGATGAAGCCCCATTCTAACTGGACTGGGGGAACACATCAGTCCCCGCTGTAAACAAACCTTGGATTAAGAACCTAGTTAAATAACCCCACCCCTCTTTAGATTAAGTTGAGACCCAATCTGGAATGTATTCTAGCTCTGTTTGCTCAAAGAGAATCTAAAACAAGTTCCTATTTTCATTCTTAAAAGAGGTCAGAGTCTGGAGCCAGATCATGTCAGTATAAGTAGCAGGAGTCAAGACTGATCTGGATTTGGCACCAAGGATTTAAAGAAAAGGGTGTGGGTAGGGTGACTGAGGGCATAGTTCAGTTGTTAGAGCTCTGGGTTCAATCCCCAGTACTTCTGAAAACAAAAAAACAGCTCTTAGCCAAAGAGTTTTAAGCAAGACAATCAATGATGAATGCTGACAGATGCTCTCATGGCCTTTGTAAAGATTATGGACTACCAAGAGGTCACATTAAAAGCTTTTTAAAAAACAAAACAAAACAAAAACAACTTATGGTCACTGTCTATCTTTACCCATTTCCAAGCCTTGTTTGAGCTGAAACCACCTCAGAGCCAAGCTGGTCTTGGGTATAGTGTGGCCTCACAGCAGCCTAAAAGGTTGGCTTTCTCTAAGGCAGCCCCGGTTTTCACCGTAACTGGCAGCTAGAAAACCGACGTACTATCAAGCCAGAAGAGTATGGAGTTTTTGATATTATGGTTGGGTCTGATTTGACAAACTGAACAGAGGTCCTCTTTGGTTCTCTTTCGTCAGAAGGCAAGCACGATACCAGAGGTGATTCCTTTGCCTAGGTAGCAGGTTTGTCATGGAGCAATCAAGAAAACTCCCTTCTGCATCTTGATGAATGGTGGGATAGACTGAGTTGATTGACCAAAACTAAAAGGTCTTGGTGAGAAATAATAAGGGTACAAACTTAGAAGGAGAGGAGAAAGAAAAATGTGAAAGAAACCCAGGAGCTAAATCAGCAGAAAGGAGGGCCTGGCTGTAGGTGAGATATGACAAGAAACTATATAGGGTAGGTAGGTAGATAACTCATTCTGAATTTAAGACTAGGAATATGGGTGAGTAGGATCGAGGACTTTTCAAGTCTGATTTTAGACAGGTTTGTCTTTGAGATAACCCAATTATACCTTACTAAACACCTAGATAACCTGACTTGAGAAACAAAATCTGTTTAAAGATTTTGCTAGAGAAGTGGTTTTCAACCTGTGGGTTGCAGCCCCTTTTGGTGTCATACAGCCCTTTCACAAGGATTGCATATAAGATATCCTACATATCAGATAATGCATACTATGGTTTGTAACACCAGCAAAATTAGTTATCAAGTAGCAACAAAATAATTTTATGGTGGGGGTCACCACAATATGAGGAACTGTATTAAAAGGTCAAATCAATAGGATGGTTGAGAGCCACTGTGCTAGAGAAATCTGGATTTTTGTGCTAGCTCAAGAGCTTGGACTTAGAAAGTCTCTTAAGATGAAAGCAGCTATTTAAGGAGAAAAGCAAGAGTAAAAGGGGAAAAGTTCAGAAGGGAGGTCAGTCTTGGGAGTGTGACTACCACAAAATTACTGTCAGGAAGCACAAGTCTATTGGGGAGGAACCTATAATTGGGAAAGAAAACCCATTTCAGAAGGTACATGCCAGGATTAGAACCTACGACTGGGCATAGCCCCTGATGGTTCATCACCAAGCAGCTCTTGGGGGAGCAGTGGAGAAGACCTTATTTTTTAAGACAGGGTCTCATGTAACCCAGGCTAACCTCAAACAATGTAGCACAGAGAATAGCCTTTATTCCTCATCTTCCTTCCTCTACCTCCAAATGCTATGGCGAATAGGTGTGCATCACCACCCCAAGCTAAAATCTTAGTATCTAACGATAGACAAGTGCACAGTGCTGTTCTCTCCAGGTGAAGTTTGGCAGAAACTAAGAGGCCTACTTAGTTTTTCCATCCCTCAGGGGCAGTATGGTACCTGTCTTCCAGGAATAGTCACAAAGCAATGCCTTCCATAGTGCTTGGACATAGGTTTTCTTAGATAACAGGCTACACATGTCCAATCTGCTAGGTGTCTGGATTTGCAGTTTCTCTTTCATTCTGAAAAGAATAAGTTATTCTATGAAGACAGGTCACAACACAATTTTAACAGATTTAGGAAAATGAGACCAAAATAATAATCACAGATACAGGTATGGTTTTGACCCTTCAGAAAGACTGAAATCCAAAACATTGACAATACTAAGTGCTAGCAAGGCTTCAGCATAGGTAGATACCTTGGAACTAAATTTGGCAGATCCTTAAAAAAATTTAAACTAAACATATAATACAAGAGTTACACTTAAAAGTATTTGCCAAAATGAATTGGAAACAATCTCAAATCCCCTACACAGATGCCTAAACCTGTAGGAATCAAGATATCCACAAGTGGGTGAATAAACTTCAGTAGAGCCAGACAAAATGTAAAGTGCAAAAAGGAGCTATATTAAGCTAGAAAATATATGGTCAGTGCATGATACTAAGTGAAAATGCCAGTTTGAAATACCTACAAAGTACATGATCCCAATGATATGTTCTAGAAATTTAGCCATTCCACAATGTGAGCATATTTCAAAACTACGTTATCTACTATGTATATGTACATATATGTGTGTGTGTGTGTTATATATCTCCAGTAAAAAAAAAATACTAATAAATCTGTCCTCAGGTTAACACTATGCATAGGAATTTAGTCAAACTACATTACAGGACCTAAAACTGTTAACACTGAGGTTATAAAGTGCCAAGAGCCAGCTGGTGGTGATGCATGCCTTTTATCCCAGCACTGGGGAGGCAGAGGAAGGTGGATCTCTATGAGCTCGAGGCCAGCCTGATCACTACATAGAGAAACCCTGTCTCTAAAACCCAAAAGAATAGCTGGGTGTTGATGGCGCACGCCTTTAATCCCAGCACTCGGGAGGCAAAGGTAGGCGGATCTCTGAGAGTTCAAGGCCAGCCTGGTCTACAAATCGAGTTCCAGGAGAGCCTCCAAAACAATATAGAGAAACCCTGCCTCAAAAAAAACCAAAAAATAAAAATAAACCAAAAGAATAAAATAAAGAGTAAAGTGCCAAGAAACCCTGAGACTGCATGGATTATGTGTCATTATGTTTCTCAGAGAAGACAACTATTAGGACAGTAACATAAACATCAGGCTACAACTTGGAGAAAATAGACCCGACAAAGACCTTATCATACCTGAAAACATGAAAAAATCTTATAGCTCAGTAATAAGAAAAGCAAACATCATGCCAACTCAAATACCCAATTAGAACAAAGTGTTGTGCAACTTTATAAAGGAAAGTCTAGTGTGGCCAACTGTCATGTGGGAAACAAAAACCAGTGAGTATCCACTAAAATGCCTCCAACTGAACACTGAAGATTCCCACTGTTAGCAAGCACAGGATAGAATCAGAACAATTAGAAGTTGTCAGCATAAGTGTAGAATGGTTTAGCCACTTCTAGAAGGTCTTTGCCTGGCCATTCTCATCCTACAGATTCCCACCTGAGAAGTACCTATTCAAGCTCTTATTGGTGAGAGCTTATTCACCTGAAAGTGTAAACCTGCATGTAATTAGAGGCATAAAATAGGAAACATGCATGGCTCTCCAAAGTACACTCAATGAGCAGCTTTATACAGGAACAGGCAGTGAATATTTCACCGATAAACCCAGAACAGGCAAGTTTTTAAAAACATTTTTAATTTATTTTTTTACATTCCAATCTCAGTCTCCCTTCCCCTCCCCCCCCCCCAACCTGCTCCTTAGAGAGGGTAATGCCTCCCCTAGGAACAAGCTGCTTGTTTCTGGAAGTATAAAATAGGGGTCAGGGTTAGGGATGGGATGACTTGGAGCAGGCATGCTGGTGATGGACACACATTTGCTGAAACTTACCAAGTGATAAATGTGCATCATCATCACAAATTTTTAACCTAAAACGTAACCAGAAAAAGCTGGGTTACAACAGCTTCCAAATGACTTAAAGTGGTCTTAGACCCAGAGGTTGCCTGTTCAGCTTAGTGAGAATTCGTGATTTATTAAACTTAAAAGTATGTGCTACATACTATGCTAAATACATGCAGAGCATCTGTCTCTCTTATCAACAGCCCTGAGAGGAAGGTACCAGGATAGCTCCATTTTACAGCTGAGGTAAATGAGGTTAAGCCAAGGCATTATCAAGTAATAATCCCCAACTCAAATACCCTTCATGAATATGGATTATGCCTACTGATGTCTACCTGTCTCAGGCCCCACAGTAAGGGAATGAAATACGGGATTGAATGGATAAGGGTTACCCGCTTCTAGCTGCCATCTTACCTTTTGTCTAGTGGTGCTGCAGGCTGCAGCTTTTCTCAGGTTAAATCAGTTTCAAGTGAGTGGAACAGGGAGTGCACAGTTTCTAGGTAGCCTCTGTTACTGGCTAGGGGATGTTCATACCCTTTGTCTCTTATACTGTGTGGGAGCCAGGTGGTGGTGGCACGTGCCTTTAATCCCAGCAGAGGCAGGTGGATCTCTATGAGTTTGAGGCCAGCCTAGTATACAGAGTTCCAGGACAGACTCTAAAGCTACACAAAGAAACCCTGTCTTGAAAAACCAAAAAAGAAAAACAACAAAAATTAACCCTGTGTGGAAACCTCAGTCAGATGCCATCCACTGCCCCACCTGTTCTGTTTCACCCACCTCCACACCCTCATGGAATGGGCTCCAGTCTCTTTTATGGCCTAGCCTCCTCCACAGGAAGGCATTCTGCAGACTGTCAAGTCTGTGTGCATTTATGCTATACAACACAGTTAATATCTTCTCACATACATTCTGGTACATTTTACTCTCCCCACAAAATTGACCTGTCAACTTTAGACAAACTTAGTATGACAGTGTAGGTGCTGGGATCTGAACTGGGTGGGTCCTCATGACTGCAGTTTGCACTCTCCAGCCTCCTGAATCTAGCATCTGTTAATGCCCAAGGCCCATCTGCTGACAAACACTTGGAGGGGCTAGGGCTGGAGCTTGGTGCCAAAGCTGGCCCTCAAGGGGAAGCCAACATAAAGACTACTGGCCTAGGTAGATACTCACTACACTTCTGTCTATACTATAGTCTTTACTGCCATTACCAGCAGCACCCATCAAGGGGGCAGAAGCCGAACAAGTAACTTGAAGACTATGGAAAAGAACACGAGAGTTTACAAAGTCATGGCTTTAAGAAAGTTAACTCTTTTCACTTCAGCTTTCCTAATAGGCTGAAGCCATGGTGGTACACACCTGTAATCTCAGCACTTAGGTAAGCCCCACCTAAAAAGAAAAATCAAACAAACTTTTTGAGACCAGGCTGACCTCAAACGCAAAGATCTGCTTGTTTCTGCCTCCCAGGAAACTAATTTTCTTTTTTTTTTCTTTTTTTTGGGGGGGGGTTTATGAGACAGGGTTTTTCTGTGTAGCCTTGACTGTCCTGGAACTCACTCTGTAGACCATGCTGGTCTCTAACTCACAGAGGGAAAATAATTTTAAATGAGCTTCCTTGGAGGCAGAGGGTTAAGCAGCAGCCACCAACATCCTTAGTGAAACGTTTGCTTCCAATTTCAAGATTCATAATTATGTAGGCTTTACTTTTCTCTAAAAATAAATAAGACTTTCCCTCTTACCCGAAGCAGGGAGGAGAGGTTTGTGGTTCCACGAGCAGCTGCAGGGACTGGTGTGGATGGCCCCTGTCCTGGGCAGACAAGCTTCCGACTGCACACACACCTTGCATTTTGAACTAGAAAGCTATTGGCTCTCTGACATGGCTATACTTCCGCTTATCTTCAGGGTAGCTCCACAGCAGTAGCTTCTGAGACTTTAAGCTTGAGAGACCTACTGCTTGGGTCAGCTCGGGGACTGCCAATGGCAGGAACAAAGAACAAATGCCTCAGCAGCCAAGTGACAATGCAAGTTACTAGATCCTTCCAGAGTCAGGTAAGAAGAAAATCAATTAGATTTTAAAAGCACACAGAAATCTTGATTTATTAAAAAAATATACAACATGACACATTTATTCATGATCTTGGGGCTCTTATGAGGTCAAACTCTTTGATGGCTGCGTCAAAGCAAACACAAAGCACACGTGTTCTACACAGAAGCACATTCCAGTTGTAAAGCAAACCTCTTCAAGGCTCAGCAGGAACAAGTACCAGGGTTCTGCAGAGAACTCTTCCAGGGCTGAGCAATGAGGCTGAGCCCAGCCAGCCTGTCTACAGAGCTGGGGCAGGAAGGCATGGTCCTTCTGAGCAAGTTTAGGGTCATCAGGAATCTTAGGACTGGCCAAGCATCTCCAGTTGGTAACCATTAAAGCAGAGGACTATTTTGTCCGTTCTTGTTGCTCTGACCTATGTCTGAGAGCAGGAGGCTGAGAAGGTATGCACATCAAATATTGTCACTGTAACCCTGAATGGACAGCTTGATTCTGCCCAAGGAGCGCAAGCTGTCATGACTGCCTTCTCCTTGCTTTATGAGCAGTCAGGCTTGTGGGAAGGGACTGCCCTTCTTTAGAGGGCAAAGAGAGAAGTGCTCTGTGTGGCTGGACAAGCTCTCCAAAGTGTATCATGTAACACATGATGGTACATCAACTGGGGACCCAGGAATGGAGGTTTTAACCTTTGTAATACAACATTAAAAAAATCCAGTTTCATTAGTACATAAATAAGTTTCAATTAAACCTGAAGTGTTTTTATGTAATTGCCAACAGGCTGGAATGTATCTGTACAGTTTAATCTGCTGTGATTTCTTTGGCTGTCTTCCAATTAGATCTAGGAACTGTTCTGACACCAACAGCTTATTTTCCAAGCTATGTTCTTCCTGGAATTCTTAAGATAGGTGGTTTTCATTCCTCACACAAACTGCTTACAGCCTTCCTAATGAGGGTGTGCTTCTGAATAGAAGAGGCCTTCAGCTGAAATGGCATCACCAAGGCCGACAGTTCGAATAGGGTCTTTACACACCAACACAGGTGTGAAGTGGAAGGTTACTCCCTCCCTGTGCCATTCCACCACCGGCTTATTTGGGTTTAGTACAATTTTGGAGCCGGGCTCCGAATGGGATGTCATGAACTCCTGAGGTGCCCTTAGAGATACGCGGCTGGCATCTATGGTTTCAGTGGCACAGGCTTGTGTCCCAGCCACACGAGCTCCTGCAGCCACAGCTGCAAGCTGGTTGGCCCAGTGTCCATCCACGGTTGCCAGGATGTGGTAGACCAGTGTGTGGAAATGGATTCTGGTGAGATCTGAGGATCTGCTTTTACTCCTCCCATGTTCTTTCAAGATCCAGAAGAGAATGTCACTGACCATGCCCACATCAGGAATACCATCCCAGGAGGAGAGAGAAGCATGGGGTCCAGATGCTGACTGGCTGAGAAACAGCAACTCCTGTTCATTCAGCCCGAGAGAAGTCACTGCGGGAAAGACCTGCTAACAAAAATAATGACAGGTCTCTTTTTGGTGGACACAAAAAGCTCCTGGAGTATTAGGATACAGCCAATGACTAAATGCCAGACAGGCATCATTTTCTTCTTACCATGGCCCCTGTCTCTGAAACTAGTTTCATGTATTAAATCTTTAACTGTCTCCACCTTCATGACCACTTGGGAAACTGTAGCGTTGCCTCAACACCCTCCAGACCTATTCTTAGTATGTGTTACTGTAAAAAGGGCA